CACGGAAATTCAACTTTTCCTTCCCATTTCACAGATGTTGTGGCAGTTTGGCTTCGAATAACGTATTGAAACAATAGACTTATGTATGGTAAAATCGGAAGAGAGAGTGGTCGATTTTTTCCACGAACACGAGGACGTTTTTTGGCCTAAAAATCGCAAATAAATTGAAAAAGGTAGAGAAATCTGGCAGAGTGGAAGATGGCCAATTGAAAGCTGATTAAATTTTCCTATCGATAGATAAAGGGCGTCGTTCAAGGTCGGTTTCCTGGCTTCACAGCTCAATTTCAAGTTTTCGTAAAAATAAGCAAAAATTGAGTTTCTAGAATTTTTGGTTTTACTGATGAATGACTGAAGCTAGAAAACATTTAATAAAGCCATCCTGTTCCGTGTAAAACCTTTACAAAATGAGACCTAGGGCAGGTCTGTGACTTAAAAGGCTTAGAAAATACACATTTCCTAAGTTGTCCATTTTTTCTTGATAATAACGCTTTCTTTACTCAATACAATACTCAATTCTTTAAAATGAAACTTAAAAAAATCCCCTAACGATTTGATGAAATGAAAATGAAACTGAAATTTATTTGCAATGAATGGGAAAATAAATGTATAACATGGTCTAACCTGTTAAAGACACTTGGATCACGAGGTCGAAAAAATTGAGTTGCATTAAACTACCGCAGAACTTCCTGAATCGGATTATATCACAGGCTTCATAAAAGAATTTGATATATATCAAACAGTCTAGTCGTCTATCCTTCTTTATTTTCCTTTGCCATAACCTTGTCAAAATTTTGTTATTTTTTAGAATTATCATACTCGCTGCTTTGGAATGAATTACTTTAATGAACTTGAAGTACACATATTTGTTTAAAAAATTATGTACCATTTTTTCAGCGATAGTTTTCGTTTGTTCTTTGCTTATTTACGTTTTAAGATTCTTTTATATCAAAAAATCCCTTTTAGAGGGATCAATTTCTCTCTCTCTCACTCTCTCCCACCTTCTCACCCTCTCATTTTTCAATTTCATTTCATCCATCGTTTTCCAAGCCTACAACACAAATATCGGGAATCTGTCCATGTTTACATTTTAGAGGGGAAGATTTAATTTCGTTAGGTCGGTCGTACTCACACGGTTTCGGGTTAAACAAAAATCAACCGATGTTTCCTCAACCGTGGGTAAAAAGAAATGGTTACAACCGTAATATATACGAACTAGATTTAGCCAAATCCCGATAGGCTAAATTCCATTCCAACCCACTAATAAATCTCCACCATCTCAGTTTTCGTACGAACCCCCGGACGATGATGGAACCAGAGGTGTTACGATGTTAAAAAGTTTTGTTATAGTACATCCTAAATGGGACAACTTCCAAGTGCAACCAATCGAACTGTTCTATCTCAATACGGTCCGAACTTATGGATTTTTACTTTTTTTTTTTTTTTTAGTAAAATCCCAACCTTAAGTCACAAATTAGCACTTTTTCAAGATCTAGACCATTTGTTCCAAATTTTTAAACACATTTTTGAATTTTACATTAAATTTCCTATAACAACCTATTTTTAATCTTATCGGACGCCGATGTACGTTTATTAACTCAACCCAAAATGAAAAATGTAAAACAAAGAGAAAATTTTGATAAATTTCCAAAAATAATTTTCAACAAATATATTTGAAGGGCTGCCAAACACCACAGAAACCTCTCCATTTACGCAGAGGAGTGAACTGTGCGATTTCAAAAATTTTAAACAACATTTTTGATGGTGCAGTATTTAAAAAAAGTAATGAATTATTAAATTCACTAATTTCGTGGTCCGCTTGACCAATTAATATATATTAATTAAGGTTTTTTATCTCAACTAAAAACCTTAATTAATTGTAAGGAATTATGTAAGAGGTCGTCGGTGGCCGCAACGGTTTAGGCGTAGACACGGCGCTTAACACTTTAAGGTAAAGTTGCCGGGTTCGAATCCAGCATATTACATTCGAACCCGACATACTTACAAATGGGCTTTTTTTTCAAAAAAACCGGTACCCTGATGGATTATGGTGATGATCCTCGAAAAAAAAGTAATATTAATAAGTCAAATCTCTTTATTACGAAATAAAATACTAAAAAAAGTAGAAAATTTCCGGTATCGAACAGTTCACTCCTCTTCTGTATTCGTTAAATTTACACATTGGACCACGTTTTTTAACATTCCAGGTTGTTTAACCCTTAAAAGGTTGTTTTCTTAAACTACCAAAACAATAAAAAAGCGTATTAAATGAAGAGGTTTTTATGATTTTTGGCTCCCCCATAAATATGTTTGTTGGAAAAAGTATTTTTCGAAATTTATCAAAATTTTCTCTTTTTTTTAAATTCTTCGTTTTGGGTTGAGTTAATAAACATATATCGGCGTCTGACAAGATTAAAAATATGTCCTTCTTAAGGGAACTTTAATGTAGAATTTAAAAAATTGGCGAAAAATTGGAACAGACGCTCTAGATCTTGAAAAAATGCCAATTTATTGTTTAAGATCGGGAATTCGATAAAACGCGTAAAAAAATTCTTAACTTCAGACCAAATTAAGATAGAACCGTTTGCTTGGTTATATTTCACTTTATTTAGGATATCGAAATCCAATTTTTTAGGGTTTATGCTGGACCACTCTATTTATTTATGTTTTATTTTGTTATATTCTAGTGTATTTAATTTATAGTGAGAAATATGATCTTCGTAAACATTTCTGGCGTTTTTGAACCCGGTACGGATGTTTGTAACATGTAAACTAAAACTGAGACCAGTTTGCATTATGTTTCACGGAGCTAATGAGCTTCAAATATCAGGTCGTGCTCATATTTAGCCTTCCCGGATAAATTATTGCTGAACAAAATCCTGTCCAAAGAAAATAACATCAAGGAAATTTCAAGTTTCCGGTGAATATTCGTCGCTGTTTACATTATAAATGGGTGGAACAAGGCCGTGGCTAATTAATATTCGACTGATCTTGAAAACAGGAGTGCCAATTTAGTTATAAGCGTGTAAAAGAATTCGCTCTTCATTATCGTTGAATGTGGCCGAATTAAAATCAAGAATCAGTATTTAAGTTTATTACCTCTTCTAACAAGTGACTATAGATGATATCAAACGAAAAATTTTCGTTAAAAATGTTTTAAATTTTCTCTGATTTTTTCTAATCAAAATTATTACAATCGTGTTTCTCCTAATCTTTGGCTTACTACTTAAACACAAAAAAACTATAAACTAGACGCAGTAAAAGTCTTAGACACAAGAGAAAAAGAGAGAGGAAGAGAGAGAGAGAGAGAGAGAGAGAGAGAGAGAGAGAGAGAGAGAGAGAAGGGAGAGAGAGAGAGAGAGAGCGAGAAAGAAAAAGATAAATAGAAAGAATGATAGATGGAGGAAAGGTTGTAAGAAGATAGATAGAAAGAGAAAGATACCGAGAGAGAAAAAAGGGAAATAGAAAGAATTATAGATGGAGGAAGGGTTCTAAGAAGATAGATAGATAGATAGGTAGAAAGAGAGAGATAGAGACATAGAGAGAGAGACCGAGAACGAGAGAGGAAGAGAGAGAGAGTGAGAGAGAGTGTTTGAGGGTGAGAGAAAAGTAAAGTGAGTAAGACGTAGTAACAGTCAGAAAAAGTGAAAAGAATGAAAAGTAAAATTAGTGAGACAGAGGGACGAACTGTTCGAGTGCTACTCGATTACAGAAAAGCATCTATTAGAGCTAGAAGAGATTATGAGGGACGCTTTTCTCACTGAGGATGGCGAGAAGCCGAAAATGGAAGGGAACGTTGGAAGGAGGGTAGACTGACCTGGTTTTTCCAATACCACGTATAAAACGACGTTTTTTGCCCAAAAATCGTGAATAACAGGCAAAACAGTTAGGAAATCGGTCAAAATGGAAGGTGAACAATCGATAACTTATTCTTAAAAGGTGCAAAAATTAACATCTTTCCGAATTTTTGAATTTAGTGATGAATGACTGAAGCTAGGAAAACATTGAAATAAGCCACCTTGTTCGTCATAAAACTTGCTAAAAAAATAAAGCCTGGAGCAGGTCTGCGACTTAAAACGTTGAGAAAATATGCATTTCCAAAGTTGGCCATTTTTTCCTTCAAAAACCAAGATTTTTTCTATTAGCACGTTTAAAACGGCGTTTTTTGGAGCAAAATCTGAATAACTGGCAAAACAGTTGAGAAATCGGGAAAAAAGGAAGGTGAATAATTGATAACTTATTCTTGAAAAGTGCAAAAATGACCATGTTTCCGAATTTTGAATTCACTGATGAATGACTGAAGATGGGAAAACATTTAGAAAAGCCGTCTGGTTCAGAATAAAATTTCCTAAAAAATAAGGCCTAGTGCAGGTCGCTGACTTAAAAGGTTGAGAAAATATGCATTTCCCAAGTTGGCCATTTTTTCCTCCAAAAACCATGTGGTCGGTTTGGTTTTTGATGGGCTGGGGTACAATCAGATATAGAAGGTATACAGCTTGATCGATTGACGAACAGACAAATTGAGATGCAATGATGAGAGGGTTTACTTTTTTATTTACAGTTCATAGAATAAATTTGTCAAATTTTTTGGCACGTCGGTACAACTTACAAATCGTCATGTTCGTTAATTGAAACTATATGAAATTTTTAACTTGGTGGGAGGTTCGGTTTCATCTCCGTTCTAGTTAAGAATTCGGTTCTCATTTGAGCTTTCGCGGGCGATGTAAGTAAAAAAAAAGTTGAGAGTGGATTGATCTTGTTAGAAACAAGTTAAAACAAGGGGGAGGAAGAGTGGCTACATAAATAGAGAAATCTTAAACTACTATAGAATTCATTAGGGAAGTTGAGGGCGTCGGAACAACTTGCCCCGAGTTGCTCTCATGGTTTAGTAAGTAGTTAGGAATGAGAGGTCCAAACCTCAAACACCAATGCCATACATCTAGCAAGTTGGCCAAGAGAGTTAGCCTTTCGGACAACTATCTTAGTGATAATTATGTTTCCAGTGATAGAAGTGGCTTCCGGCGACTACCCGAGGGATCTTGAACAGATGGCGGAAACATCCACCAGCTCGTTTCAGCAGTTGTCTCTGGTCGAGAGTGCAGATAAAGTGATCGACGGGGAGAAAGGTAAGACAGTTATTTCCCAAATGATTCACCCTGATAAGTTATCATTTGGCAAACTCCACCGTTTGAATCTCAATGTTTAACTTTGAACGCCTGTTACCATTTGAGCCAACTAAACACCAAAAACAATCAATTAGCAAATCATCAAAAGTTGATATAACAATAAGTTCAATCAGCATATCATTATTTGACACATTATCAATGAATCAGATTCACACATGTGCATAATCACACACACGCGCACGCGCACACACAAACACACATTAGAAAGCTTAATTAATATCAACAGTACGGCCATTTGCTATAATTATGCTTTCTAACTACCAAATCTTTCTTTGAAGTAGTTTTATTGCTACTAACCAAACAATAGATTAGTTTTGAAAAATCCCCCTAATACAATAAGTATAATTAACTGCAATATTAGTTTAATATATACAATATATAATTATGTTACATATATTATGTATATTAACAACTAGTATATTCAATTGAAGACAAATAATCAAAGTAGGTTCAATTGATTTTCTAATGATTTTTTTATATTAAAGTTTATGTAGGGGTATATCTGAAAAACAATTTGTGTCAGGGTTGTCAAACAAGGGTGCCAACTTACTAGGGCACCCTGGAATTTACGGAAAAACCACTCAACCTAGAAAAAACTATTAAACCGTGTGGTCTAGGAGAACTTTTCGGAAGGATTCGGGGTGAAAGAGGTCGAACTAGGTTTGGGATGATGGTCGAGGGTTTTTATAGAATCGTCTAAGTAAGTTTTCGCGATTTCGTGAACCGATTTGAAGGTCTGTGTTTGATACGAATTAATGAGCTTGGGAAATGATTTGGGATGAAAGGTGTTAAGATGGTGATTGGATGAAGTCAAGTGCATCATGGAGAGGTTTGTTGGGACTCTTGTTTGAAGGAGATGGGTTCTTAAGGTCTGTGACGATAGTAAGGAAAAAACTTAAGCAATGGTTCCAAGGCTCTTTAATCGACCTACATGATTGTCAGGAATGGTGTAGGATTCAAGGTGTTAGGCTAAGAGGTTGGGATGATGGTCGCGGGTTTTTATAGCATCGTCTAAATAAGTTCTTGCGGTTTCGAGAACCGATTCGAAGGTCTGTGTTTGATACAAATTAAAGAGCTTGGGCAATGGATTGATGTATTTTGGACTGTAGTGACTGTATACTTTGGACGTTGGACGCTTGGTCGAAACCGACAGTTCAGGGAGTAAATTGCGATGCCATTGGAGCTTTAGGCACTTTAGAAGTTGTCAGGAATGGTCCGGAATGAAAGGTGTTAACGTTATGATTGGGATGAGGATCAAGTGCATTATGGCGAGGTTTGTTGGGACTCTTGTTTGGAGGAGATGGGTTCTGATCTGTGACGATAGTAAGGAAAAACTTGGGCAATGGTTTCAAGGCTCTTTAGTCGACTACATGGTTGTCACGAATGGTGCAGGATTAAAGGTGTTAGGCTAGGAGGTTGGAATGATGGTCGAGGGTCTTTATAGCATCGTCTAAATAAGTTCTTGCGGTTTCGAGAACCGATTCGAAGGTCTGTTCGATACGAATTAAAGTGCGTGGGGAATGATTCGGGATGAAAGGTGGTAAGATGAGGGTCAAGGGCATCATGGAGAGGTTTGTCGGAACAGCTGTTTGGAGGAGATGGGTTCTGTAGGTCTGTGTAGATATTAAGGAAAAAGGAAGGGTTTTTGAGGACGTATGCTCTTGACGACTTATATGACTCTCAGGAAGGGTGTAGGATTAAAGGTGTTAGGCTAGGAGGTTTGAATGATGGTTTAGTATTATATGGAGAAGTCTATTGGGAATGATCTTGCTGGTTCGAAAACGTGGGATCTGAAGGTCTTTATTGCAGATAGACACGAAGGGAAAACAAGGCAATGGTTCCAAAGGCATGATCTTTTAAGATGAAAAGTGTTAGGCTGTGAGTTCCTGATGACGGCCCAGTGTTTTATGGAGGGGTCTTTTGGGTATGCTAGCTTTATGGAGTAGATAAGGATCAAAAGGTCTATCTGGATAGTATGGTCAGAGAAGTTTAATACTTGTCGGTATTGTTGAGGGTTCATTAGCTTTTTTTAGGGTGGGTAGCGTAGTCTGATTTTTCTGTCAACGTCTCGAAATGATCTTTTGATTGATTTATTTTTCCTTTCTGTTTTAAGGGCGGATGTGGGTAGATTTCATTGTATTTATGGTCTTCAGTGCTGTTATTCTATTTCTATTTGTGTTGATGGGCTCAAGATCAATGAGTATTAGTGCTGTAGTTGTCATTATTATGATTTCTATAATTTTTACATTGTTTTCGCATGTTTCATTTGTTATTGGCTGTGATTTTGGTTTATCTTGTACATATTTTATTGCTGCCATTTTGTGTCGGTGGATTTGATGTCGTAGCATAATAAACTTTGCAATAATTACAGTTTTTCTGAATTTATTAAAATAATAAGTTTTAATTACTCAAATGCGTGTTGTTTAAAAAAAACCTATTCCAAATGACAAGCGAGGACGGAAGAGGAATGATATTTTTTTTTCTTCCTTACAATTTAAGCTTCGGAAGAATAAATCATCATTTGTCATTTCCGCTATTTAGCAGCCGGGTTTTAAGAATCTAGGACGGATTGTGATTAATCGTCTGAAACGAGAAAGGGCCGATTATAGCCAAGGTTCTTCAAATTAATAAATGACACACGTGCTACGGAATTAAAAGAAAGTCTTTATATAACAAAACAGGCTGGTAGAAGATTTTTCTCGGGTTAGGTTTTTTAATTGAAAAAGCCATTATAACGTCCCATCCTTGTCGGAAAAAATATCTAAATAATAATTACACTCTGGAGTGTTTTCTTTTAATTCCTTTTTTCATTCGTCACACTAATTTCATTACATCTTTGAGACCGTTTAGTTGTTACGGTGACAAATTGATTTCAGAACAGTACGGAAAGTTTGTGTTAAAAAAAAAACTTTTCCGCTTCCGTTTCCATTAGAAACTTGGCCGCCATAGGGACTTGAATGTCTGCGCTTAACTGTTACCTCGTAAACCGATTAAGTTCAGACCCGCATCACACCCCAGATGACCTGTCTGGTATATTCAGCGCCGTTATTCAGCCTTTTTCCTCCTTCTAATACCTTCTTTTTTTAACTTTTAACGCCCAATTTTATTAACAATTTCCTCTTTCGACGTACTTTACCATTTGGAAACTGGAAATTTCTACATTAAAACTTTTACGTATTCTATTTAATTTATTCCTAATTTACATAACTAAAAACTCAAAGTTGAGAGAGAATTTTTAGGACCTCGGAAATTCCGTGCTAAGAATTAAATGAGAATAATATCATGGGCGGAGAATTAATAATTAACAGCTAGAAGTAACGACTCATTAAATCAAGTTCAATTAATATAATAAAAATTTTAATTATGAAATTTTTCTAGTTTAACAAGATTTTCTAATTTATATTGTCATATATATAAAAGTACACTTAATAGTAGATTAGCCTCGGTTATTACAAGGTATCATGAGTATTGTCTGTCATAAATTTATTTATTTTTGCTTTATTTGAAACACTGCAGTCATTCTTTTCTGTGAGATCTTTTTATACGAAAAATTTAACAATTTTTTTAATAATTTACCTTCTTCTTACACGCCTTCATATTTGATCATTTTTATTTCATTTATTTATGTTAAACGTTATATTAAACGATACGGGTGTTACAAACTTTGCCAGTAGATTCTACATTCAAAATGGAACCAAAATGTCCTAATTAACTATTTTCCGTATCTCAGCGGTTTCGGAGTTATTCCTCTTTTCTGATTTTTTAAGATTTCACGGCCTTGCTTCAAATAAACAATGATAACTCCAAAGCTAAAACATTTTGGGCAAATTCGTTGATACCATTGAAAATAACGTTAAATTTCCAATAAGATGAGATCAATAAGCTTGTAAACATTCGTAAAATAAGTGTTTTAGTAGACAGAAGTTCAAAGTTGAAAAACTTCCTAAGGTGATTCTAAACTACTATTTCCAAACCTAGAGACCAACAAATTTCAGAAAATTTAATCTCCTTTTTAGTGGATTAACCACTTTTTCTGATTTTTTTTAAGATTTCACAACCTTGCTTGAAATAAACCATGATAAGTCCAAAACTAAAAGACTTTGGACAAATCCGTTCGTACCAGTGAAAACTACGTTAAATTTCCAATAAGATGTGATCAATACTAAACTTTTAAACATTCGTGAAATATGTGTTTTAGTAGCGAGAACATTGAAAAGTTTTTTTTTCAAAGTTGAAAAACTTACTATGGTGATTCTAAACTAGTATTTCCAAACCTAGGTACTAATAAATTTCACAAAACGTACTCAATTTAATATGCTTTTGAGTGGTGTAATTTCTTTCTTAATTACTTTTTTCAAAGATTAAAAAATTGATGGAGAAAAGGACAAAACCGTGGCTGACGGATTGATATGCTGGAAAATTAAAAAAAAGATTTTTGTTTTTTTATTATTAATCTTTCCACCTTACCAATCCTTCAACCACGGTTTTTTCTATCCTCCATCAATTTTTTAATCTTTGAAAAAGTAATTAAAAAAGAAACTGCACCACTGAAAGGAGATTAAATCGAGTACGTTTTCTGAAATTTGCTGGTCTTTAGGTTTGGACATAGTTTAGAATCATCATAGAAAGTTTTTCAACTTTGAAAAAAAAAAAAAAAAACTTTTCAATGTTCTCGCTACTAAAACACTTATTTCACGAACGTTTACAAGTTTAGCATTGATACCATCTTATTGTAAATTTAACGTAGTTTTCACTGGTATGAACGGATTTGTCCAAAGTCTTTTAGTTTTGGACTTATCATGGTTTATTTGAAGCAAGGTTGTGAAATCTTAAAAATATCAGAAAAAGTGAATTAACTCCGAAACTATTGAGATTAGGACCGTAGTTAGTTATGACTTTTTGTTTCCTGTTTGAATGTGGAATATACTGACAAAGTTTGTAACACGAATAGCCGAACACACTGTATACAACCAGCAGATGGGATTTCAATTTGTGATTGGGCATTAAGGGCGTTATAGAGAAAGCTACCCGGATTAATAATCATGTAATTGACTGTGAAAACGTCTGTGATATGTTTTGATGAATAAAAAAGTCGACATGTGATGATCAATGTTACTGTTTACATAAGAAGGAACAAACAAAAATTAGCTGTAAAATCTTTGAACAGAAAATATTGTAATCAATGAATATTGGAATTCCGATTCATAAACCTGGCACCCGTACATCCAAATAAGTTTGGGTTTGTATATGTCGAAAGTTTTGATTTTATTGGTAATCTTGGTCATCGGTTCAGTAGATAATAAAGCATTTGAAATCATTTGTTGAGGAGTTTTTCATGGTATGTGCAGATTCCAAGTTCTTCTATAAAATTTAGGTCCTAAATAGTTAACTTTATCGGATTGAGGAATATATTCATTGAATAATATTAATCTCAGGGCGGACTGTAAATGTAATATGTTGTGACTTTGATGTGTTAAACTTTATTTTACAAAGATTTCTCCATTTTTAAATAATTAACATGTGGTTTTATGACGTAGGGAACCTTGTGTAGAAGAGGGGTGAATACATAATTATTAATATTGCGGTGTCATCTCTGTATGTGGCAATAAGTGATTCTCGTTTGTGGGCACGTCAGAAGTAAAAATTGTGTACAATAGCGGAGCCAGTATTGATCCGTGAGGCACACCTGCAAGCACTTTTTTCGTCTCAGAAGACTCTGATCCCTAGTTTGTTGCGTAAAATCTCTCATTAAGAAACGACAGTATAAACAGATAATAAGCCTGGAGTGAAAATAGTTTTAATATGTATAATAATCCCTCAGACCAATCTTAGTCGAAGGCCTGAGAAACATTTAAAACCACTTCAGTCGCGTATAGTTTCTGCTTTTTCAAATTTATGACCTGGTAAGATGTTCGAGTAGGAATAGAGATATTATTTTGTTAATTAATTTTTCAAATAATTTAGAAGAAACAAACTATAGGTCGATAATATGTTGTGGAACTTTTGGGATCATTTTAATGTAGGAAAGTTTCCATTGGAAAAGTACAGTTCTCAACACTGCAATAAATAATGAAGTCAGAAAACGATTACTTTTTTGAGAAGTTGTTGAAACATTTACCTTCCTAACATGACCAGGTGATTTTTTTATGAAGCTATCTTTTTTCCTAGAGGTCCTATCAACCCTCAGGGTATCGCTGGTTAAGATAAAAAGCCCATTTTTGTATGTCCGGTTCGAATGCAGGGCCGCTGGATTAGAACCCGGGACTCTTACCTTACGATGATGAGGCCGTGTCAACGCCAAAACCGTTGCGTCCACCGACGCCCCTTAGCTATCATATTACTTGTGATATTTGTTATTGGTTTAGGTGGCAGATTTAAACATACAGGTATCATAAGTGAATCGAGTATAAATTTATCGTGATCAGTATCGTCTAATTTATTAGGTTTCAATGCCTTGGTGTTCCGCAAATCTTTTGGATTTTTCTTCATCGGAAACGACCTGAAACATCCCTATGTCGCAGCATAAGTTAGCACTACGCCAGAGGCTCCCATTCTCTGTTGATCAGCTTTTTAAACGATTGTTGTTTAAAATAGTTTAATTTCTTTTTTCATTTACTTAAAAGTTTTTTTTGTAGCTTTGTTTGTCGTTCATTGATCTACGTACATGCTAAAGGTGTGTAGGTCTTCGTTTTGGATATTAATTGTCCTTAATTGTAACGTGGATAATTTGGACGATTTTTTTTCTATATCAGACAAAGAAGATTTATGTTTAATAAATGAAAAATAAAATTATTCTTTTCTTTAATTATACTATACACATACTTTACAAATATAAATCTTCTCAAATATTACTCCTGGGATAATAGAACTTTACGTCTTAAATCATCCAAAGACGTCCTTAACTTTAACCCGAGTTGGGACTCGTATATTACGGCTGACCATTTTCACTATGATCTATTTGAAATTTACTTACTTAGGAATGGTAACACAGTTTCCTCGAAAGTACGTTATTTTATATTTTTTTACATGCGCAGATGACAGCGCAATTTTGCCTTCTTCCGACATCCATGAAACCTTGAGCTTATCAACGTCTTCAGGGCTCAAAGTGTTTTGAGAGTCTCAACACGACACGCAAGAATGGCACAATTACACAGAATACAAACATTTTGAGCCCTGAAGATGATCTCAATGAAGATCGAAACGTTGGCACGATAAAGAAAATGTTTTTCTGAAACCTACATCACACCAGACCGCATCTCACGATTTCTGAATAATTATCGATTAACGGTCACTAATCACCACACAAACATGTAACATTGGGCTTGGCCTGTTAGATCAAGCAATGTTAACCAGCCGATTCTTACATATCTACGTCATTAGTTTTCTGACATGACCTAGCAGACTTAACCGGGTTAACATAAAGATCGTGAGTATCTCTATTGCATTTCAAAAATGTTCTTAATCACAGATCAACTTCGTGTTTGCACAGTACTTATCTTGTTAATAAATGCCGTCCTTGCCTATTCAATCCTCGTTTTTATTTCTTTATAGTGGTCCCATAAGTCATTCAATTGACAGCCTAGGTACGCTATCTTTCGAACCCTCTCTAATTTTATGGACATCATGATTTCTACTTCCTTGATAGGTGTTTTATTCATAACCATAAATTGGCTGTCTGTAATTAAAATCGCCCGCCTATCGGCTATAATTTAGCCTTCACATTTATCCCCTCTCGCACATCATAAAGAGCTTTCCTGAATATGTTTTTGGAGTTATTCTTAAATAGTAGTAGCGACAGGCTGCACCTTTGTCTCACTCACACCTGTCTTGATTTCGATGCCATTCTTTGTGTAGCCTTCTATCTTAACATTAGCTTTTTGTTTCCAGTAAAGGTTTGTGATAATGTGAATATTTTATTCATCCATTTAAATGTTTAAAAGAATTTTTATCATTTTCCTTTGTTGGACGTTAGCAAAAGCTTTTTCGAAATCAATAAAATTCTATGGTTGAAAGCCTTACACCTACAAGGGAATTGGATGTACAATAACACAAGGCTTCTGTGGTTCCTTGTCCGTTGCAATGAAAATCGTGATTTGCTGATTTGGTCTTGTATGGATAACCAAGACGTAATCCAAAAGGTGGATAAACCGCTGGAAGCAAATTGAATCATGAACTTTTGAGGGAATTTGCAAAGCAAACCAGAAGTTTGTGGTTATTAACAGTTACCAATCCAACATTTTCAAAAAATTCCAAATTTTAACATATTTGTTTTTTCTGAATTTTTCGTGCAGAATTTGTTCATCAATTATGCAATGTAAATCGGTTTCTTTAGAGCCAATTTAACGTTCCTTCAGATGGCACAAACCAGCTTTTTCTATAGTCAGTAATTCTGAAGTTTATAAGCAATTCAGTAGACCTAAGTCGAAAAATTAAAAAACACCAAAAATCTGAAATTACTTTTTTACCGTTGAGATTTGGACAGGGGTTTATAGTAAGCTTTTTGTTGCATATGGTGAGCAGATACACCTGAAATTTTCGACACTTGTCAGTCACCCTGTATATGCACTGTCAATCATATCCTGCCATGTTCGGAAAACGGACCACATAAATTTATTTCGTACCGTGTTAAGTGTTGTTCGAGCATGTTTGCATGATATTTAATAGTTTTATAGCACAGGTTTTCATATAAAATTTATGATTTTTCAGGCCTAGACATTTATAAACGGTCGAGCAAACGGGCCAAGGCAGACGGCTCGGATTCGGACCTAGGTTCTGTCCGATGCTTGCCCAAACCAGCCTCGGCATGGCTTCAACTTTTTCACCTTTACAACCGAAATATAATAGTGCTGAAGAGAGATATAGTATGCTAGATTTATGAGATAGGTCAAGAATGTTTTTTTAATTGTTATTTTGTTTAAATTTCAGATGCACATCGTACTCAGGTTTGTCGCTCACTTGTTTATATCCATCGTGTTTGGATATTTGTACCAAGAAGTGGGCAACAACGCCGAAACATTATTGGCTAATTTTATTTTTGTTTATGGTTCTATTTTATTTCTACACTACACCGGTCAGATGACCGTCCTTTTGTCATGTAAGCTCATTTAATTTTTATTTTTTTATTTTTTTATATTGTTTTTCTTTTCTTTCACCAGTTCCTTTAGAATACAAGGTTCTAACTAGAGAACACTTTAACCGATGGTACTCCTTGCCGTCGTATTTCCTCGCGTTGCTCTTAGTCGAACTGCCCTTCCAGGTGAGTGGTACGGATCCAGTTGCAATTAATCGACCGTAATGTCAAATTGTATGTTCCTTCAGGCGGCCTGTGCAATGCTGTATCTAATTCCCGGGTATTGGCTGACATCGCAGCCGCTGGAGTGGCCCAGGTTTGGCACCTACGTCATGTTCAATTTGGCGATTTCTCTGACAGCCCAGGCTACTGGGTTTCTCGCTGGAGCTCTCCTTCCCATCACGGTAAGTTATTTTCTGACCAACTCACCAAAATATAGAAAAAAAATTATAAATAAATATTCAGGAATGTATTAAATGATTTTACGTGTGGTGACTAATCTAGACGGCCCTAGTTGTTTATTTATTACCAAAATATGCATGATAATAGTAACTATAATATTCTAGTCGGTATTAAGTGAAATGTGCAGCTTTGCTGTTGAAATATTGATCTTCTGTGCAAGGCAGAGGCTAGCTCGAAAAAGGGTGCTAGATTAATTAAGACCATTAAATTGTTAATTACCCTCGGAGGGGTCGACTATTTCTCAATTTCCATCCGATTTTCAAGCGATAAGGTGTATTTTTTACTTACTTTTTTTAAAACTGCCTACTTCCCAAACCAATAAAAATGATGTCATAAAACCTATTCCCAAGCTTGACAAACCACAGCACCTTTCTTTTTCACGTCGCACTATCATTTTCTTCAGTTTCTGGGAAAATCCTTGAAACAATATGCCATTCAGCAGTGCCACATGGTGGTAGACGTCATTATTACGTCAGCGGAAGAAATTCTGGCTCGAGTGCTTTCCTGGACGAGAGGCAACTGTTAAAAAGAGCGTGGTACTCAAACTTACTCTGGAAACTCACGAGCTTTCTTATAGACATATACCGGTCTTGCTCCACATCATCCATGCCGACATAAGTGTTTCACAAGGCAACATTCTTGGTCGGATTCTTTATTCCGTTTTCATTGCATTCCTAACAATACTCAACTAGACCTCGACCCTTCAGCAAACCCTGATCTGTTGTGGCCTTAAGAAATCTCGATGCCCTTCTCTTCTCTTTGTAAGAATGGTTCAAGAAATTAAAAAAACAAAAAAACAGATTCAACGTAACGAAATTCCAGCAACTAACATTGTTTGCTTTATCTTTTCCTGTACCAGCAACTAAAGTTATACGCTATTTGTGACTTTACGTCGACATGGCTTACTTGGAACACAAAAAATCCACTTGAAATAATAGAAAATATAATAGAAACTGCCAAAAGATACTTCACAACCGATCGAAACACTCTCTGTAACATCTCTCTGCTCTGAAGCGGGTGTTTCGCAAGGCACCTACATTTGTCCCATTCTTTTTTCAGAATACATTGCAGTTATTCTTATCCAACCCGATACAATCCTAGACGCATCAGTGGCCTTCAGAAACTTTACGGAAGAATATTTGAAAAATGGAGGATCAGATTCAACCAAATCAAAAATATCCTTCACCCTTCGCTCTGCCATTTCTTCTTCAGTCTGTACAACTTTATTTCGCTCACAGCAATATGACCAATTTTACAAGCAAGCTTTTCAAAGTCAGCAGGTTTCTTTCTTTTAAAAAAAATCGAAAACTGCGCTGGGGCTTCAATACTGAGCTCAGACATTAATTCATTGTAAGCAACGACTTTTCACATCTCAAAACGCACTCTCGAACACATACAGAACGTTTTTTCTTCCTTTTCCTCTTTAGAACAATTACACAGGCCGCAATTTTGCGTTTTGATGCTTTCACATCATGATAAAATCAACTGTTTGAATGAAAGATGAAAAAATGTGTACAAGTACACAGGGCATAGTGTACACAAAAATAGGTCTTGTATGTCAACGGGTTGTATATTTATTCCAAGTTTCGTATTTTGAGATCTGTCGTATACATGTCTATGACATAAATTTCTCGTAATTTCTATTAGTATGTAAACAATGAAAGCGATTCTGACACTCCACATTTCCGGACAAAAGTGTCAGATGTAAACGTACCTTTAAGTGCCAAAGTGCCAATGGCCTCGCGATTTATGAACTATGAAACCAAGCGTTCCAGCCTCAAAAGGATCTTTTAGAGACTGGATTTTGATGGGTCTGACAAGGGCCGGTGTTGTGAAGTGTAGAGTCGATGGATGTGTGCCGTTGATAGAGGTCTGGGAGAGAGGCTGGTCAGACATCGTGAGCCAGTAGACTCGGCAGCAAGTGCCTGTAGCCAAGTCTGCTGTTGAGAAGACAAGAGCGAGGCTGATGCTGCGAGGCTGATCCTTTGCTTTTGAGCTGGTGTAGTCGGCTTGTCCAGGTAGACAATAGATAGTGAAAGCTAGTCGGGTCTCCGTTGCTGTATTAGTGAATGTTGAGACCTCATCGGTGTGGCGAGTCTGAAGTCAACGAGGCAAGGCTCCTGCTTATGTATGGAATTGCTCCACAGGCTGCAGAACGGAGAACGAGGACATTCCTGAAATGTTGACACCTAGTGGGTACCGTTAGATAGTGGGTAGGTGTTCATCTCAGATCGAGTCACCCCAGTCCATATTCCTTCGAATCATTACCCAAACTCTTTACTTCCCATTTAACCTATGCAGATAAATCTTCAGATCCTATTTGTACTCCAAACATACAAAAAATCTAAATATACGCCTACATGAAACGCTAGACATTTATTCCACCCTCTAATCCATCAACCCCGAATCCTTTCGGATATTTTTTAAGAATTTTTTAAGTCCCCTAAAGCTCTAACAGCCTTGTGATTTCCTACTTAGTTGAGAAAGGTGAATAGTGTTATGTTAGGAGTATAATTAATAGATTACTTCTCCAATTTCATAAAATTCGCAAATATAAAAACTCATTAATAAAATTATGCTAAAAAATGTTGTTTCAGATTGCTGTTTTTCTGGCGCCCGTATTTTCTGTCTTCTTCTCGGTTTTTGGCTTCACAAGCAGGTACCAGGACATTCCGACACCCCTCAGGCCGTTTTACAACATAAGCTACTTCAGGTCGGCATTGCAGGGCTCGTTCCTCTCCCTGTACGGCAACGGCCGGGACGAGCTGCCGTGCTACGAGATCTATTGCCATTACAAAAAGCCACAGATCTTTCTCAAAGACATGGGCTTTTCGGATTTCCAGACAGGCCCGGAAATATGCTATATCATTTTCATCGGATTGCTCTCTTACGCGCTGACAGTCCTCTCTATTTGGTTCAAACTGAACAAACGGTAATTTAAAAAAAAAAAAAAAACCTCCGTAAATAACGTGTAAATTGTATTATAAACAATATTAATAGTTCAACGATTTAGTCATCTCTTAATTAATTTTATTTATTCAATTGTAATTTGTGTAAGATCTTTACAGTTGTTTTGTGATATGATTTCATTTCTTGATATTGATAAATATGTATAAAGTTAACTAACTAAACATTTTTACACAATGATGGAATTGACTGTTATTTAACTTGTTTACTCCGTCCAACGGTTTTACCCAAAGTGGCGAGTTTAGTTTTATATATAGCGATCTCCGTTACAATTACTGGACTGTGATATCAATAACGAGGAAATTAGTATATGCTGCTTATGTTGTAAAAATTATAATGTATTATTATTTACACTATCATTTTATAAATTAAGTTTTTATAGTTATTTAGTAGTTATTAAGTAGCTATTTATGTAATAGGTATTTTATTGTATTAAAATCAAAATAATTGTTATGTACCCATGTTTATAAATAATAATTGATAATGTAAATAATTTGTTTTATTTATTTATTTTTTTTTTTTTTAAAGGGGCATCCGACTGTTTGGGCATTTCAGCCCCGAGCACATGGAAAATATTACACACGTTTAATACGCATTCACACAAATATATACATTCACACCTACATATATACAATATTCCTCCATCGACCTGCGTGCAATAAATAACAAACTAATCTAATTGGGATCGATGGGATACTTTTATAAATATTCCGCCATCAGCCCAAGGCACGGACACAGCGAGGGGCTGGGAATTCTATTTCACCATCAGCCCTTCCCCATTCACTCTAATAAATACGCTCACTTATACAAAACATATTTTTGCGGCTATATAAATGAAAACTTGCAATTACCCTAAAAAGTGGAACGGGGGACCCTGAAAATCTTTACCGTGTCCGAGAACCATTTCTAAATCCGGAGGCATGCCTACACGCTCTCTGTACGGAGCCAAGGCATCGCACGCTTCTATTATGTGGGACCCATCGAGCAACCTTTCTACGCATAAAGGGCACCTAATGTTGTTATTTAAACTGTTAAAAGGTAAAATTGATATTTGTAAACTTTCGAAAATTATATTTAAATGTTTCTAGTAGAATGTAAACGCATTTTATCCAAATCTGGCTTCCACAAACTGTATGAAACATAATCCTTGCAAAATATTAATGCCAGAAGGTAACAAATTAGATTTTGATTGGATCCACGAAAGTTTTAATAAACTAAAAAATGTAATTAAAACTAGGTTTTCATAACTAAAAATATGATGTTTTTCTTGTCAAAGCTATATTCACAAGCGTGGAAAATACCATTTCATGCATGAAAAAAAAATTGTACAGAAATTCGTCCTATTTTTATTAAAAAACGTCACTTATTAAAATGTATCCATATTATATAAAACTATATNATATTTGTATAATATGGATACATATACGAAATCGTTGAGAGAAGAACAAACCGTTTGAATTTTTTTTGTAATATCTGTAGTGTAAAAACCCAATTCCTCTTTGACGTGAAAATAGTCATAGGTGCTTTAGAAAAGTCCAGATAACTTAAGTGGTAGAGCAGCGGCGTATTTAGCCGAAGGTCGTGGATTGGAATCCCGCTCATGACACTGCCTTTTTTACCTCAAGAACTTACATAAAGATTTATTTTAGAAAAGTTTTCATTCTTCCGTCTACACATATCAATGGGTTCTATTTAAACTTGTTCTTCAATTTTTACAGCCACTAAGTATTCAAAAATGAAAATAATTTTTTATGAGCCTGTCGAAGGTGGAAAACGTGGAGGACAAGACTGAATGAAGAAAAATACGTCAAAACTGTACGTTCGCATTGAAAAAATTGTCTTGCACTCTTCTGTACATCAACAGCAAAGAGATACCAACTTGTAGTCAAGTAGGACATATCTAGACAGCAGACTGACGTGGAACCTAACACAAAATTTAGCAGACAACAACGTAATATAAGACTCCGACAACTACGAAGACTTCTACGACCGAAAGCCTTGTTGATCGCCAACCGTAAACGGCCATGTATATTTTACAACAAAGTCCTCAAAAAGATCGTAAATACTCCTACTACTTCACTAACCTCACTATTCACAACGGCCTCAGCATTTCTTTTATAAACAAACTGATCCACTCCCGATTCCAAAAGTTTCATAACCTCCCGATCCTTGTTAATCCTACTGCTATAGAGAGGGCTTATTCCTTTGGGTGTCACCACAAAACCTAACAGACAACTTAATATAAGACCTGGACAACTACGAAGACTTCCACGACCGAAAGCCTTGTTTTTCGCCAACACTAAACAACGTTATACAAGACTTTTCTGCGACCTACTAAGCCATCCGGCATCCAGCGCATAATATCCTTCAAATTACCTATCAAAAGTCCTCAGAAATGTTGCCAATACTCCCACTAATCTCAATATTCTTAACGACCGACTTTTTTATTAACAAACTGATCCACCCCCGATTGCAAACGTTTCGCAACAACCTCTTGTTCCTTCTTAATCCTACTGCTCGAGCCCTCTCTATATATTTGGGTATTTCAGTCGATGGTCTTGAAACTTTCTTGCATTTTAATCCCTCACACTGAGTGCCATCATAGTGCCATGTGCCCATCGGGTGCAGAGCTGGCATTAGTGTTATTGCTGTAACAGTGCTGGAATAGGTTGAAAATTGAGTTTTCCAAACAATTCTTCTAATAGATCATGTAATCTCTAGTATTTTTTAAATAATTATGGATCAGTTTTTAGTTTGCAATTGCCTTTTTTTAAGTAAATGATGGGTTTTGTTCTGCTAGTCGGACAACTCGATATGTATTTTTTGAGAAATTGATGAAGATTTGTTTTAAAGGGGCATCCGACTGCTTGGTCATTTCAGCCGGATGCGAAATATTGCACCACACATTCAATACGCATTCACTCAAATAAATACATTCACACCTACATACATCGTATTCATTCTACTTGATGGATGGAGTACTCAATATTCCTCCATCGACCTGCATACAATAAAAAAATTAATCCAATTGTGGTGGATGGTGGTCCTTTTATAAATATTGGCCCAAGTCACGTACAGAGCTCGAAGGGCGATGGGGATGCTCTTTCACCATCAGCCCCTCCCATTCATTCTAATAAATACATTCAATTAATTAAGGTTTTAAGTTGAGATAAAAAGTCAGTGTCACGAGCGGGATTCGAACCCACGACCTTCGGCTTGATACGCAAAAATACACCAACCATTTTTGTAGATGTTTAAAATTGATTTTCATCGTTAATTTTATTTCAATAAAAAATAATGATAATTTATTTATTGCCTTCTGTCAGAGCGCCAAAAATAATTCTGTTTTCACATACATGATTTTTTTTGTACAGTAAGCAAATAAATTCCAATAAGGTACTCAATAAAATAAATAACCTCATGCAGAAAAAGGTTCCCCGATATGTCCCACTTAATAGAAGCGTGTCAAGCCTTGGCTCCATATAGAGAGCGTGCAGGCATGACGCCGGATTTAGAAATGGTTCTCGGACACGGTAAAGATTTTCAGGGTCCCCTGTTCCGTCGTGGGGTTCGAATCCCGCACGTGACACTGACTTTTTTATCTCAATTTAAAACCTTAATTAATTGAATGTTATTTATTGGTCAAGTGGACCAAGAAAAATAGTGAATCTAATAAATACATTCACTGATACAAAACACATTTTGACGACTATATACGATAAAAAAAATTCCCAAATCCTGTACAAAGCGGAACAGGGGAACTGGAAACTCGCTACTGTGTCCGAGAACCATTCTTAAAACCAGCGGCATGCCTGCACGCTCTCTGTATGGAGCCAAGGCATGACACGCTTCTAGTAAGTGGGACATATTGATTAACTTTTCTCTGCATAATGTTATTTATTTTATTGAGTACCTTATTGGAATTTATTTGCTTACTGTACAAAAAAAAGCCATGCATGTTGAAAATAGAATTATTTTTGGCGCTCTGACAGAAGGCATTAAATAAATTATCAATATTATTTTTATTAAAATAAAATTAACGATGAAAATCAAATTTAAACATCTACAAAAATGGTTGGTGTATTTTTTAAAGTTCTTTCAATGTCCAAAATACTGGAAAAACCTGGAAAAAAAGAAACTAAAATACTTCTTTTAACTCCTTCAAACAGCGTAATGGATGGTGAGTTGCAAGCTCATCAATGCAGAACACTCGATTCGCAACTTTCAAAGTTTTATTCATACCACTTCTTAATGGATAAGTTTTAAGTTTAATATTTTAAGTATTTTTCAATCCAAAAATTTTTTTCCAATTTTATCTCTTGTTCTTTCTTTCAAGGAAATACAAAATGGTAATGGTTAAAAAATAAACAGAAATATACAAATTTTGTCTTTAATGCAGCAGTTTATAAGTACATACTATGTTATTCTATCAGCATGACAATAAAAATTGTTGCTTATCCAAAATCGATCTCCATCTGACCTATAATGGTGTACGAAAATATTTCACAAGAATACTCATTAAAATCTCACCAGCCAGGCTACACGTGCCCCTTTTTTAAAACACGATAAAATAATATATAAAAATTACACATATAATGTTATTTCACATATAATAATTACAATATTATTTCTCTCAAGACTAGTTGAAACGGCTGAAAATACTTTTTACAAATAAGCTTATCGATAGGTTCGTATTCTAGGTATGATTGAGCTTAGGATATTTTCCATTCAACATATATTAAAGAAAAAGTTAGGTTTCAAAACTTTAGGTCAATAAATAAATACATTAAACCCTGCGTAACATATTTTTTTAAAAATATTTATTTTACACTGAATGAAATGTGTTTGAATTGTTTTTTTCCCACACTATACTAAATATATTATAATGTTTATTATATCCAGGGTTCTACGGTTTTTCTAATTGTAACAGACATGACATTTCTGGGTTTTCTAATAAACTCTATTTTCAAAGTACGAGTTTAATTTTGTTTTT